GAGGCTCATAGCCATGTTCTGTTCTAGTTTCAAGTCCTAACGATTTTCCTCCCTGAAGGATAAGGAAGAATCGAACTACTACTACCAGAGTCTCAAAAACGGCCTCCATGTTGTGACCTTTTCAGCATCCAATTCAAGGATTTCACAGCTGTCGCTGTCAGAAAGTTGTGTATTTGTCATAGGTCCAAGTGCATTCTGTTTGGTCCTAGCTCTTTCTTCTGGTGGATAGTTCAGTGTGATCAGACGAGTTAGCTTGTTTGTGTCAGCTGCTGTAGCTTCTTAGGCCAGGTCCGAAATGAACTTCACTCCCATTCTAAGCAGTAGTACCATGAACCCAGTGCCCTGTAAAAAGACGAAGCCCACAGGTCTTACATACCTGGGAGCATTTTCTGGCGTGATGACAAGGTAGCTGGGTTTTAGTTGAATAGATTCTGTTAACCAAAGTGCTAGTGTAGCTCTTGTGTTTTCTGGAGATTATAGATGTTTCAGTAATGCAGAAAGAATTGGGGTGCTCAGGACATGATTTTTAATGTCTATGCTCATATTATATATATATTTTAAAAAACATATATTTTTATTGGTTTCAGAGAGGAAGGGAGAAGGAGAGAGACAGAAACATTAATGCTGATTGGCTGCCTCCCGCACGCCCCCTACTGGGGATAGAGCCCGCAACCCAGGCATGTGCCCTGACTGGGAATTGAACCATGATCTCCTAGTTCATAGGTCGACACTCAACCACTGAGTCATGCCGGCCAGGCTATGCTTATATTTTTTATCACAGATTTCTCTCTATGAAAATCATACAAAGCGAATGGTATTGGGGAAATGAACAGATTCCGGATGGAGCCAGAGGGCCTGTCCTGTCACTGTCACCCTCGTGACCTTGCAATAGTCCCTGGGCCTCTGGGCGCCTGTGGGACTAAACAAGCTGGTTTCTGACGTCCCTTCCAGCTCCTTCCAGGTGTTTCATTTCCATGTGAAAGGAATACCCCTTGGACTATAGGGAAGAGGTTTTTCTTTGGATCCAATTTCACAGAATCTTAAAAATGACTTAGCACCATGGTAACAGGTGCACTGTTTCAGACGGAGAGGATTAAAATCTAATTTTGATCCTGGGAAAGAAATATTTGGAAAGGAGAATCAGCTCTGAAGTTCCTCAATTCCTTAGGTTACCTGAGAAAATCTTCCCCAGTTTAACTGCTCACGGATAAGATTACAGCAGATCTATTCTGTACGGCTAACAAAAGTCAAGCATTGCTCTCAACGTGTATTCAAAATCCCAGTCGCAGGCATGTCAGCTTTGGGACTGAGAGGTGGCGGTGGGAGGAGATGAGTGGATTAGATGTTCTGAGTATTAGGAGCTCAGAACTATTTCGATTTGGAGACAGCAGAATCCGTACATCGTACATGGAAATCCGTGCATTTCCATGACTTAGAAAGACGGTTTTCTCACTGCCAGCATCACTTCACTTTTAAAACTGTTTACTTCCGTATAGCTAAAATGCTGCCTGCCATTCAGGCGTTTTATTGCTTGCATAGAACTTAGCTAAATCCCCTATAAAATGATTCTGAGTTTATCATCATAGCATTTGAATTATTTTGTAATGCACATAAAAATCCTTTTTTTGTTGCAAGTCACAATAAAATACAGATTAATGGAGTCAGGCGGTTGCTTGAGCCCGTCTGGGACCCTCGGGCATGTTGCCCTGGGACCAGCGTCCCCTCTCACCACAGGGGGTGGCAGGGCTTCCTACGGCTGTCACAGGTCATCTGGCAACTTCAGGACCCGCCTTGCTTTGGAAGCACAGAAAAGGCTGTTGTTTCAGTTTTGGTCCATTCGAGGTTGTGCTTTATCCCTTTCCCAGCTGGCCTTTCGGGAAGCTGGCTGCACCGTGATGTATACCCTCCCACCCTTATGAGATGGTACACGTGGCCTCTGCCTCATAGGATAGTAACATGGGTCACAGGCATTAATAATAAGGCAGTGGGCCCTAGCCAGTTTGGCTCAGTGGATAGAGTGTTGGCATGAGGACTGAAGGATCCTGGGTTCCATTCCAGTCAAGAGTGTATGCCTGGGTGGTGGCCTCGATCCCCAGTGTGGGATATGTAGGAGGCAGCCGATCAATGATTCTCTCTCATCATTGATGTTTCTATCTCTTTCTCCCTCTCCCCTACTCTCTGAAATCAATAAAAATATTTAAAAAATAATAATAAGGCAATGGGATTGTATTTGCTTATAGATGATGAAATAATATTCTTTAAAAATGGTCTATTGCTCTTGCATTCCACTATTCAAATTTCCTGCTCTTCTGTTATTCTCCTTTGTAATTTCTATCATTATATTTTTGTTTTTATTATATTTAAAGAGAAAGGGGTTTTAATCCAAAGTCCCTACTTGCCTTAAGACAGGATTCACATAGCATTAATCTCTGTGTAGGCATTGTGTTTTCTTTTTAATATATTTTTATTGATTTCAGAGAGGAAGGTAGAGGAGAAAGAGATAGAAACATCAGTAATGAGAGAGATCATTGATCAGCTGCCTCCTGCACGCCTCCTACTGGGGATCAAGCCTGCAACCTGGGCATGTGCCCTTGACTGGGATCGAACCCCAGACCTTTTAGTCCACAGGCTGACGCTCTATCCACTGAGCCAAATCAGCTAGGATTATGCATTGTGTTTTCCATTGGCCATTATTATACAGGTAGTTTGTTTTTTTTTAAAAAAAAAGTGCAATGCATAGCAAATAATAAAAATACATAAATACATATTATATATCAGAAACTGGGCTTTGTGTTTATACATGTATACATGCATCAAATATATGACAAATATACTATGTCTATTATATGTATATGAGAAATAAAAAGACCCTCTTTTCAACCCTTTAGAAGGGCTGGGCTGTGGGCAGTGTGTAAACTTGAGGGTTTTCTGTGCATCCTCTCCTTCTCTGGTTGCAGCTGGTGAATTATAGAGCGAGGATCCGTGACCACAGTGCGGGGGTGGGATGGGCGTGGACAGGGGCCAGTCGCAGGCCTGAGCTCCGTGACACAGGCAGACAGACAGCACAGGGAGTGGGTGGGGCCTCTCCTCCTCTGCC